TTTAGAAACCGCTGGCAGTTGGAACGTTACGGTCGATTTCGAGGCGTCTTATCCGCATTTCAAAACGCCTGGGCAGTAAAAGCGTGCACGCGAATCGTTTCATCCGTCTATATAAAGCGTGTAATCTTCGATCCATATAATGCCCTCCGTTTTTCCCTTTTCTTGTATATGAGAAGCAGTTCGCCGGAGATAAACCAGAGTTACAAAAATTCTTTCTTTCGACCCGTGAGGCAATTCTTTAACATTACTGTGTCTGAATTGAGAACTCCTAACCTTTGGAATTCGTCGGAGGAAAAAATTCAACGAGCATAAATTCCGCTATCCAACTTTATCAACTTGGCCCCGGCATGAAACATATATGCCGAGACAGCGACTATGAAGATCAAACCTCCGGGCCCGGGTATTGCCGTGTCAACTGTGAGAAGGTTGAAGGTCGGAACGTTGCGCATCGGCGGCCGGAGCGTAACGGCCCAGCCCTCTGTCAGAGGCAATGCTGGCCTCAATCTCTCTAGGTTGTGGTCGGCCAGGTTTTCCTGACAGGGGAAGGTGTTTGGTCGACGGGGATCTCTTCCCGGAACCCGGCAGAGCCCATCGGTTCAGAGCGTGGTGGTCGGGGCCGATCTCATACTGGAGTTCTACATGGAACTCCACAAACAAGCTCCACCTACAGCTCATCTTCCTGGCGTCTGAGTGCTGTGGTAGGCTGGTAGCTCGTCGGCTCCCTCGTCTTAGCTTTTTTTAGGCTTGGCTGGTCCTTCGATTTTTTTTTAACTTTGTAATCGGCTGGGGTTGAAGCGACTGTAAAAGTAGTAGTGTAGGGATTTCTATTCGATCTTTTATTCTGCGAAATACAATCTTCGCATATTATTCGCCTAGTTGGTGCATAATAAGAAAAAGAAACTATTTTTGGAAATTTTCTATTCTGCGACACATATTGCGAAACACTCGTGTAGTATAAATGAAGAATTTTTTTTTATTTCTTTTTGAAATTTTCTATTCTGCGAAATACAAACGTCGCGTATTATTCGCCTAGTGGTTGCATAATAAATTCTTTTTTAGGCGAAATGAACCTGAGACTATTAGTTGAAAATATTGCGCACAATAAACGCATAACACGTAGTTTAGGCTAATGAACCTGCGACAATTAGTCG